TCCAACTTCCTGCCAGGCCTTCGCTGGCAGCTAAGGCAAAATTAAACAGACTGACTTAGATGTTGCCCCATGAACTACACAGGTTAGACTCATGGCAGATTTTGTGGGAAGAATCAAGGTTTGGAGAGTTCACTGAGGGCTAGAATAACTAGAGAAGTCTTCTTGTATAAGCATGGAACTTAACTTTATTCTTCCTCAAATGGTATAAAATACCACTAAGCTATTCAATTCCCCAACACAGCAATCACCTATGAGAGAATATAGCATCCTTCTCATTTGCTGCAGAAGACATCCAAAGGAAAAATAACTACACTTTTCAATGTATGCTTTCATATGCATATCAACCTTGGCAGTTGTTTGAAGATTGGTATTTCTATTTCATTCACTGAAGAAAAGTAAAAGCAACATCAAATTGGAAAACACTCCTTACAAAGATTCTGTAAAACTACATTAAAAAGTGAAAGCCTTGAATGATAGCTAAAACCGACGTGTTTTCCGTTTCCGTTCAAAACTTCCATTTTCAGTCTTAGACTTTTCAATTCCAGGCAAGGGAGGTTGGGCACCGAGAAAACATTCTCCATTATGGTGCAAAAGGAGGGAGCAGGTAGGTGGCCTACTTCCAGAGTATGAGTGCTGAACGTCACCTTTAAAATGGTTAAGTAAGCAACCCAAAGAAAAATATACTGAGGGTAAATTGCTAAACCAATCGAGATGAAAGACCTGGTTAGGTCAAACTGTCACCCTCCCTGCTCCATTTTCTGTAATAACGGTCCATTGTGTTAGCAAGAAGCCCAGCCAACCGCCCCTCATGAAGAGCTCCCTACAATATAATTTACATGGTATTAGGGATTATCTTTTTATCTGCAAACTAAACAAGATGAAATTATGTCAGCCCAAGTCTCTACAGACAAGGTATGTCAAAAAGATAAATTACATAATTTATATTTGCATTCCTTTGCATTTTTAATATTGTTATATTCTTTGCATTTCTAATTATATTTGCATTTTAAATATTGAATTCATTTTTTAATTTCAGTGGTAAAATGACATGATATAATTAGGAATAGATGGACATGGGACATGTTCAGAGCCGTTGCTTTGCCTCCGCCGCAATCAAAGACTTCTTTCCTTCCCATGATACCCAAGTACCCAGAAGAGCAGCATAATACAGCTAAGCTCTGCTGGTTATTAATTTGGTATATCTCAGTGTTGTTTGAAAGCATTCTTCCACTCGCCCCTGTAAGCAGATTATACACCTCTACCCGTGTGATGCTTTCTTGGAGGCAGAATAGGTACTTCTGCTCCACCATTACGCCTCATTATGTTGACAGATAGAAAGGCTGTCCTCGGTCAGCATAGGCCCTTGCCACGAGAACAGCATGCCCCGGACAGGGGCTGTCTGTGCAGCCGGGATCTAGAAATGAGGTAGGGCTGCAGATGGCCCACACACAGCACAAAGCAGATAGTTAGTCAACTCACTGACAGCTTTGTTTCCTTATGTGAGAAATAAATGTTTATAAGGTAGATCAAGAAAATTATGAACTGGGAAAACAGCAAGTTTACTGATATAATTATCGGGAATTAGTTTACTATATGATCATCATATATAAGGTGGTCTAAATGAAATACTATCAGTTTGTGTCAGCTACGTTAGATTTACCAATACAGTTCTCTAGCGAGTGTGTGTGTGTGTGTGTGTGTGTGTGTGTGTGTGTGTGTGTGTGATAGAAGTAGTAGTTTATTCATTGTTAGAATCCTGCTATGGTTTGAGTACCCTCTGAATGCCAATGAGTTAAAGGCCTGGTATTCATGGCTGTCTTGGGAAACATTTTTAAGGTAAAGTCACCCATGGGATGTCCTTACCTCACTGTGGTGTACCCTTGAGTGGCATCATCATAATTCATAAAATTTTTACAAATGATCAATTAATTCAGCAAAGTAGTAGGATACAAAGACAATGCAGAAAAGTCAGTTTCATTTCTATTTACTCACAGAGGAGATTAGGAAAGCAGTTCCGTTTATAGTACCTTCAAATAGAGTAAAACACTTATTAAACCATGTAGTTGAAAGACTTGTACAATAAAAAATTACATACTATTGCCAAAAGAAGTCTGAGGTCTAAGTAAAGGGAAACGCAGGCTTCCTGGATTGGAAAACTTAATATTGTTAACAGTGTCAGTCGTTCCCAAAAATTATCTACCAATTTAGTTTGGTTCATTATCAGAACCTATTTTTTACAAACAGCAAAACCTATCATGCGAATTCTCAAGAGATACTGAATTGCCCTAAACGACCTTGAAAAAGGATAAGCAGTGTTGGCAGAGTTATACTTCTTATTTTAAACTGTATTCCAAAACTAAGTAATCAAAACAGTGTGGTATCAAACTTACATATGTATGTATGTAAGAGGGGGGGCTGCAGGTAAAGGCCCTTGTGGCTAAGTTTGATACCAGAACTTGGATAAACAAGAGTATAATCTACTCAAAAGTCATCCTTTGACCTCCACACATGGGCCATGGCACGTAGAATTGATTAATCTATGAATTGATTAATTAATCTAAACTAAACAGCCCTGCCAAATATACTCAATCAGCTTCTAAAGAAATGACGAAACTTGAAAACTGGAAAGATATTCGGTGGTTAAGAGTTCTGACTGCTCTTGCAGAGGATTTGCTTTCTATTCCCAGCACCCATATGGTATCTTATGACAGACTGTAATGCATGTTTCAGTGAACCAATACCCTCTTCTGACCCCTATGAAATGCATACATACATAGAGGCCAAACACTCATGTACGTAGAATAAATAAATCTAAAAATATTTTTAAGAGTGCAAGAATTTTACTCAATGGACAAAGATCATCTTTCTAGAAAATGTTTTAAGTGTGTGTGTGTGTGTGTTTGTGTGTGTGTGTGTGTACAAATGAATGCAGTTGGACTCAACTAGCCCCATGTACAAGAAGCAGCTCATAGAAGGTAAAAACATAAATAGGAGCTTAAAGCTCTAACAACTCTTGAAAGTAAGCATGCCATTAAAGTCTCAAAACATTTTAAAATTATTTTCTCAGATTTGATGCCAAAGGTGCAGAAACTGAAAGGATAACTGGAGAACCAGGATTCTAGGATAGTTTTTTAGCTTTTATTTATGCTTTAAGAACTTCGTATACAAGTACTGACTGCATTTGCACCATTCTTTCCCTGCCTTCCCTTGCCCCAGCTCTTCCTATGTGTCCCCATTCCTTCTCAAATTAGATTTGTAGACCAAAAAACATCATGAGAGTAAAGTGGCAGGTCACATGATGAGATGAGATTAAATATTTACAAATCATATATCTGATAGATGATTAATAGCCAAAAATATAAAGGACACTTAAAAATAATAACAAAGAAACAACCCAAATTTAAAACAGATGAAGGAATTGAGTAGACATTTTTTTTTTCTTTTTGGGTTTTTCAAGACAGGGCTTCTCAATGAAACAGTCCTTGCTGTCCTGGAACTCACTTTGTAGAACAGGCTGACCTCAAACTTAAAAAAGATCCACCTGCCTCTGCCTCCCAAGTGCTGGGATCAAGAGTGTGCACCACCACCACCCAACCTGAGTAGACATTTTTCAAACAAGTAAGTATCTAATTAGGACATAAAAAGATGCTCAAAAACATTAATCTTCAGAGAAATATAAAACAAAATAAGAAGAATCCAGGTCATGCCAATTAGAATGATTGCTAAAAACAATAAAACGTCAAAAAAAAGATAAGTATTTCACATTGTTGGGGATCTGAAATAATTGAGACCCTTGGGCCCTGCAGATAAGAATATAAACCAGTCTAATCCCAAGAGAAAAAATATAACTATCTTGAAAATAAAATAGCTTATAACTAAAACAATTAGTGGTCTAGCAATTCCAGTTTGGAATGTGTACCCAAAAGAATCGAGAGAAAGGACTTTAAGAGATATGAGTAAGAGTGTTCAGAGCAGCGTTATAACAGCCAAAGTACAAACACTACCCATTTGCCCACTAATCATAATTGGGTAAAGCAAGTGAAGCATTTGCCTTGAAATGAAAATTCTGACATAGACTATACATCTATGAGACCTGATGATTGTATACTAATGAGCAAAATGCATCAGTCATGAAGAAATGCGACTCTATGTTCTATTTCAATTAGTGAGTTACTTATAATAGCAAAATCACAGAGACAGGAGGCAAATTGGGGGTTCTCAGAGTCTGGGGAGGAAATGGGAATAGGAAGTAATCGTTCAGCAGATGTATTGCTCACTACACAAGATGAAGTGGTTTCTAGGGAGCATACTGGTGAGTGTGTTCATTGAGAGGATATTTAGTGCCATTTAGTGGACTAAATACTGAAAATGGTTAAAATTGTAAATTACAGTAAAAGCCAAAACTTGTAAAAATAATAATGATAATAACCTGTTTCATTGAGAAGCAAGTCTTGTTATTAGACACTGACTGATGAGAAAACCCAGGACATGTTGAGCTGTTGGACCTCAACAAGGGAAATCTTAACGTTCATGATTCAAGATTTCTTTCCAACCAATTGACAAGGAAGGCAAAGAGGCACAATGATTTTCAAGGCTTTAAAAGCCAAAACCTTATTCCTATAAACTTCTAGGTAGACATTCAATCTTAAATAAGACAGGAAGTAAATAGAATAATAAAATGAAATAATACGGCCATTTACAAAATGAAAATCTAAGGTGCTTAACACATCTCACATTCCCATTATTTACTCAAACAACAATACTGAGAGGAGCGTGTGGTTTACAGTTTGATTTGAACTTAGGAAGGTGTTTTCTGAAAGGCCTTTTTTTCTTCATTGTATTAGACTTATTTTTTATCCAAAGGACATATCTTTTAGACATGCTTAAACTAATTTTAAAATGTTTTCAATATTTTTATTAGATCTTTGAGAGTGCCAAAGAGAGAGAGAGAGAGAGAGAGAGAAATTAAATTTAAAAGAGAAAACACAACGCCCTTTCCTGTGCCCTTTTAAGGTTGTTGCTGTACTTTAAGAGGCTAACACAGAAGGGTAAAGGAACTCTCCGTAAAACCCATGGAGGAGACGGTACACCTCCTTTTTGGATCCTGTCTGGAGTCACAGACGAAGGAGAAAAAAAAAGAATAAAAAAAAAAGAGAGAGAGAAAACACAAGATTAGGTACATTCAGGATGATATGGCCTAGACAAAATAGAGCATAATGTTATAAAGGGATAAAGGGGAAATTAAAATAGGAAGACTAAATGGAAACAGGATCTAGGAGAAAAGAAAATAGACCATAAAACAATACTCACAATTACATCTTGTCCTGCCAATTAATGTGTTGGTAATAACTAATTTTCATTGGGCCTCGGGTTTTTTTGTTTGTTTGGTTGGTTGGTTTTGGTTGTTTTGTTTTGTTTTTCAAGACAGAGTTTCTCTGTAGGTTTGGGCCTGTCCTAAAACTAGCTTTTGTAAACCAGACTGGCCTCAACTCAGAAAGATCCCCTTATTTCTGCCTCTCCCAAATGCTGGGATTAAAGGTGTGCACCACCACCGCCTAGCAGGCCTAGGTTTTTTAACTATACTATTTATTATGTAAAATAGCATTGTTCCAAAAAATTATCATGATTATTAAATGATAAATTCTATGAATTTATCTATAGTGCCTGGCACAATAAGCTAAAGATTCTTGAGACATTATTTACTGAGCACTGCAGCTACTGGAAGAGGGCACAGACGCAGCCATGAACACGCCATACATTCTATTGATTGAGTGCCATGCAAACACCTGTCCTTACAAGGAGAGGAAGTGTCATAGGCTAAAACAGTTGGTGGTTTTCTGCCTTTCCCCAAAAAAAAAGGTGACAGTTCTCTCCTCTGGATTCCCTTAGCATCATATCCATGCTTTTAATCTATAGGATCTCTGAGGCAACAATGGTCTCTTGTACAAGTGTATGATAGCAGAGCCTGGAAGACATCTGAAGTTTAATAAGATGTCAATAAATGTCTTCTAAATTGATAAATTTCAATATGTAAAAAAAGAAAGTATACTTCATTAAAGTAATCTTATGACCAAAATTTACTCTTAAGGGGAGAAATAATAGCTCTCAGCAACACTGAACAATTTAAATTAAAATAAAGAGGCAGGAGCAGGAGAGGTATCTGACAGTAAATAGCACTGCTCTTGCAGGGGATCTGGGGTCAGTTTCTAACACCCACATGGAGTCTCACAGTGATCTGCAACTCCAGTTTCAGGTGATCCTATCTAAGCCTTCCACTGGTCTCACTGGGCACCAGACATGGAGACAGTTACATACACATATGTGCAGGCACTCAGATAGATACATAAAAATAAATACACTTTTAAAATAAAATTCAAAGGATCATGAGTCCCAAAGTGTCCTCTCATCCCCATCCCCATGTGTGTCACACGCACACACACAAACAAATAAATACATAAAAATTTAAATAAAAGATGGAAGCTCATGGGGTCTGCATTGTCATTTAGTGAGAGCCTACAGTGAGGAAAACACAATGCAGCATATACAAACAAAGGAAAATATTTCCCTTGTGAATGCTCATATTGAGTAAAGAAAATAAATTTTTACACAAATTCTTCAAAATCCCACCAGATATTCTATTTATAATAAACAATTTTACTTTTTTAAAAGGAGGCATTTCCAATTGGAGTGGTAGAGAAGGGGAGGTTTAAGGAAAGATACTTAAGTTAGGTATTAGACACAGCAGCCACTCATCGACATGTACATGGTAAGAAAGGATGTGCAGTAAGAAGGTACATGTGTTAGCATGTTAGGAGACATGGGGTTAGACCACAGAATGAACTAATGATTATGAATGTATGAATGAATGAGTAGATGAATGAATGAATGAATGAATGAATGAATAGAAAAGTCAGATTCTGGGCATACTTAGCTCATCTGAGGAAACTGAATGCAAACCTGGCCTTTGTCCCATAATTGAGGGAGATTAATATGCTCTACTGAACACAATCGTCTGACACCAGGAATAAATGCAGTGTGCAAACAGAGATGGAGATGATTATTGCCAGAACAAAGAATTAAAAAGGTGAGAGGTAGATGAAAACATCCACAAGGTCAGGTTGCTAACATTTGGCAGCTGGCTAGATATGCATGTTCAGCAGAGAGAAGGCAGAGTGACTTTTCATCATTAAAAGACAGTTGACCTCTGGCCAAGAGAAATATCCCTTTCCTGTGACTCACTCTTTACCAGAAGCCTCTGATTTCCTGGAATTATTGATAAAATTTCTAAGTTTCTCGATGATGAACGCTTAGACCACAATTTTAGCAGTATCTTGATGATAGATTTTTGGGACACAAACTTCCTCTTCCAGCTCTAGAGATGCTTCAGACTCAGTTAGCTCACGTTTCAGCAACCGGTCCTATTTCTAGAGCCTATGAACTATTGCCAACGGTTCTGCCAAGTGACGATGAATGGATCCCTATGAAATAAAAGTGTATGTGTGTGTGTGTGTGTGTGTGTGTGTGTGTGTGCAAAAGAAAAGATCTGCCATGTCACAATATTGATTAAAAATCTCCAACACAGGAGTAGAGGAATTGGCACCTAGTTTACTTAGTTAAAATCTCTAACCCCAGCGCTGACAGAGCTGAGACAGGAAAAGTGCATACGCAGGGATAGCCTTATGAACCTAGTGACTTCCCAGCAAGGCGCTGTCTCAAAACACAAATACAATGAACAAAAATTATCAAAAGGTGTCTACAGGTGAACATAACAGGCAGTTACTCATTATCCTTCAACCCAAACCTGCTTCTTTTCCTAATCCACTTGTCTAAGTCTTAATTCCATACCTCCTTTTTTAAAAGTCCATTTCCAAAGAAAGCCCAGCAGAAAAGAAGTGCATAGACATCCAACAGCAAACCTTCCTCTTCAGTCAGTCTCCTTAGTCCTCTGGTCTGTTAGTGACGTCTGTAATGAACGCTTGCATGGAATCTCTGCGCTAGCACTACACAGGTTGCTTGGTCTCCATTCTCAGCCTTCTCACACCCACTCACTATGTTACAACTCCAGTTATTCCTCTATTATAAAAATTCAAAGATATTATTTTACTTGAATCTTGTCACTGGGTTCTACTTTTAAAATTAAGTCCTAACTCTTTTTTTTATTACTCAATTTTATTTTTTATTTATTTTTTTTCTTTTTTTTAATTTATTTATTTATTTATTAAAGATTTCTGTCTCTTCCCCACCGCCGCCTCCCCTTTCCCTCCCCCTCCCCCAATCAANCCAGGTCTAGTAAGGTGAGCATCCACAAAACTGCCTAGGCTCCCACAAAACCAATAGGTCCAGTAGAATCAAAAACCCGTTGCCATTGTTCTTGAGGTCTCAGTAGTCCTCCTTGTCCGCTATGTTCAGCGAGACCAGTTTTGACAAAGTCCTAACTCTTTAGTCTCCTGTGACAGTACTCACTACATTGTATTAGGACAGGCTGTTCCTTTCTGTGGGTCCTCCCACATACTAGAAACTCCTAAATGGGTTTAGGATGAAACAGCATGTTGAATAATTTTATATTACTCAACCCTTCAAGAACATTATCAATGTTTTTTGTCTATTTTATAGAGAAAAACATATGACTCGGGGTATGTTATCTGATTAAATATAATGACAGACGCAGGATTGAAGTATCTAAATCCAAAGCATTGTAGCTGAACACTTATTCATATTGTTTTATTTTCTGTTCATTGTTTTCTTTTTTGTTTGTTTGTTTGTTTTGTTTTGTTTTTCGAGGCAAGGTTTCTCTGTAGCTTTGCAGCCTGTCCTGGAACTAGCTCTTGTAGACCAGACTGGTCTCGAACTCACAGAGATCCGCCTGCCTCTGCCTCCTGAGTGCTGGGGTTAAAGGTGTGCACCACCATCGCCTGACTTGTTCTCTAATTTTACTAGCACTTTGTGAATCTGATTCAGGGCTCTAATGGAGAGTGTGCATATTTGGAAAAATCACTGAATAACGAGTTTCTGAAATACAAGTCATATTCACTTCCAAGATCTGGCACCTAGTACAATGCCTTTTATACAAACACATTCTTAGTTTGTTCTGAAAAATGATTTTTTGAATTAAATAAAATGTCACAATGGTGAAGTGATTTTTCAAGTACCATTTAAACACTAGTACTTATAAGACATGCAAAAGATAAAGAAAAATATTGGTTAAATTCATTTATCATTTTTAGCTCATGAATTTTAGCTACTAAAAGGTCTCTCTCTAAATCTGATTTAAGTAACAGCTCAATAATTTTTGAACAATTTTTTTCACTTAGATTATTAATAGGATTTCACCTTGCTTTGTAAATCCACTCATGGTTGGCTAATGTCTTTATTGAATCTTTCATCATGAAATCTCTATAGAAAATTTTCCTTGGAGTCGTAACTTCTACCACTAATGGAAACGTCAGAGCAGGTGAAGTTGTAAAACCTAAGGCAAATGACCTCAAAAAAGCTTCCAATTTCTGCTCAGATGACCTTAATTCTACACTTACCAGCTCTGACAGAGTGGGCTTAGAGCAGCACACTTTTAAGGCAAAATTTAAGTGAATAAGAGAAGAAGAAACTGAATCATCTTAGGAGTGTTTACATGTGTTAGAAGAGGCTAGCCTTGAGAGATGACTTAGTATCCTGTGATGACTGAGTATGTAAAACATCCAGGTAGACCACCTCCTCTATGCTCTTTGTGTATATACTGCTCCTTCTGGTCCACCCTTTTCCATATCCTGATAGAAAGGCCACCTTCATTCATGACTTAGCATACAGACACAGTAGGTTTCTCTAAGAGCAGACCTTAATCCCACCAGAGCAATCACCATTCTTTGCAAGAAGTAGGGGGAAATCACAGTCCTCTATAAGAAGGGGGTATGGGATCATAGCGATCTCAGTTCTCTTCTAGAATAGGGGAGCCAGTGGAGGAGGATGCCTCTGGCTCCATAAGAGAAATCTGTACTTTTCCAAATAAATTCTTCTTTATGTTGAGACTAATAAAAGTAGAAAAAATTGATATTTTCAAGCTAAAGCATCCATAATAATACAATTGGGGTTTCTAAATAAGATGGGGTAATGAGGAAAAGTATCACAGGA